GTTGTTTTTAGAAAGTCTCAGCTTCACGTTTCGTGGAGAAAGTTGGGCTGTGATGCAGGTGGCTTGCCTCATCCTTTGGAGATACCTTTCAAGAATAGCAGGTCGAGGGGCTGCTGTTCTGACCGATGGCCTTTGAGATTTTTCTTTCTGTAGGCGAATGCAATGTCAGTGCCTTACTACTGGTCGAGGTGACTTCCATATTTCTCACTACTTATACTTCGTAACATCTCTTACGACGTTACATTTGATTCGGGGTCTTAAGGTAGCCATGTTGGAAGTATCACGCATATGTGGATGTTTTCATAAATCTAAACAGCGGGGTATTGGACGTAAAAGGGAATTAAAGAATCTTTATTCTTCTCTGTATTATGACCAGTGTACCTAGGCTGTGACGGGCATTAAAACAGAATTATATCAGTTTTCAAAAGGGCTTAAAAGTTTGATATCTTAAAACTACCGTTATGGGTGCCACAGTGTATTCTAACCTAGCAGTAACTTTCTGGACTTATATTCGGGAGGAACGCATTTTTAATTTCGACTTTTGCAAGTCGTTCTATAATTTTCTTAGTCTCCCTCATAAGAAGGTCGGAATATAACCTTAACATATGCCACGACCACCTCATTTCACGTTACGTAACGTCGTAAACAATTATAAATAATCAACCAGTTTGAGTTCTGCCATTTATTTTACGGATAAGTGAATACGAAAGGAAATAAAAAGGAAATGTAATAAACATCGTAAAAAGAAGAAGGACTAACCCTCATGTGCTGTTTCTCGCCGTTTATAATCAGTCTGTGTATTAAGACCACAGCCTTCTGAGATACTGCAGTCTTGTACGTCGCAGAATCCCATAAGGCTGTAATTTTCATACTCGCGGCCGTGAGAACCTGAAATCTCACTATATTTATTATCCATGGGCCCGTATGGTTACAAAAGACTTATAAAGTAGGGGAATTGTATGATATTTCGTCTTCCCACAGTGACATAAGGAGAGAGGGAAGTTTCTTTGAAGGTTGGCAGGCTGTACCTGCTACTGCAAATGACCGTGAGCGAACTCGCTTATATTGAGAAGGTTACACTGGCATTACATCCAAGGAGGTCCACTGATTCAATAGCATTCTACCAGGGCAATTCAACATTTTAAGAAAAGGTACAGGACTTTTTAGAAAGTAAACGTATTTCAGACTTTGTTGTCTGCAATGCGTCAGAGACTTCTACTAACGATGGCCACGTGTTGGTTACTGTGCGAGGACCATCCCTTGTACTACGGACACACGATGTGACACTGTCAGATGCTGAAGTATCAGCCAGTTTTCGAAAATAATGACCCGGTTTCGTCTCACAAGAAAAATAAGGTTTAATGCACGCCTAGATGTGTATGAGTTTAAATGAGGAATGTTTTAATGAAAGAAACATCCTGAGGAAATAGTATCTAAGAAGAGAAGGCAACGAAACAGCCGTCTTCAAGTAAGGGAAAAAAGATAATTGGAAAATAACGCGAAGGTATGCAAAAAGTATCCGAAAAGTTTTCGTGATTGGTCGTGTTGCTGTAAACGAGCGCAACACGGACGAAGTCTCCGTGTCGAAGCGATTAGTTTTAATTTTAATAATCACATTACGAATTCGTACTTGATTAACTTTTTTATATTAGTAGTTCAGGGGGACGGTACGAATAAATCTTCTGTGCACGTAATAAGAAGAGGACCGCATGCGGACCGCGGACCTCGAGTTTGACACCACTGCTCTACACCTTTAATTGAAATGGTAGAAGAGGATAGACCACGATGAAATGGTCGGGAGATGGAGGATCCTTAGGGGAGTACAAAATTTTGGTCGTAAGACATGGCGAAGAGGCCACGTGGAAGATTAGATGGGAGCGTATTACGTTTGATGTCAAGGAAGTAGAAGGTAAATGTGAACTGAATTAAAGTGGCTCAGAATTAAGACGTGGAAGATGATAACGAGCCTTCCGGTTCTATAAAAGGCGGGAAATCTCTGTACTGGCTGAGCGTACTATAATGTGTTTACCCGCAGTATTGATACAGTGGAAGGAGTCTGCACACAGTGATTCGTTTTCAAACAAGGAAATATTTTGGAAGATGCTTTAGACCTTTGTTATTCAGTTTTGTAAATACGAAACTTCCAGTTTATGTGTTATGTGTTGATAAGAAGGGCTTAAGTCAACACAGACTGTTTTTGCCGTAAGTTCCTTAACGAGAAACAGTCGTAATAATAATAATAATAACAGACTGCAACCAGCCTTTATATGAGAAGAAAAGAATGGAGTTTGATGAAACAGAATTAGAAGTTGCGATTAGTGTTGCGTGCATGTGCACTTCTAATTACCACGTCGTTGGCAGATCCCGAAGATTTAACACCAGTAATACAAAAAAAATCTTAATAGGACACAGTACTGAACCAGCACTGTTTACAACTTATTTCTTTCTCAGTTTGGTGAAGATTCCGTTGTTGGTTATGTACCCTAAAGTCGAATGATATTTGGTGACCTTGAATGTTAAGCAGGCAAGAATTTGGGAGGAGACAGTCGTTGCCTATTTTGAAATACTGTCCCAATATTCGCCTGGATCATTCGCGGAAAACCACGAAGGCCTTTGGGCTGAAGCTGGATTTGCTCAATAGTTTCCACTTCATACATTAGCAGCTTGTTAAATGTATGCACAGAATTATTACTTTGAAATCAGTTTCTATGTAAGTAATAAGGAGATTACACTGTTTATCAACTCGCTGTAATTTTACGTATATTATTAATTACTTGGGGAGCGTCTGGATTCGGGTTCGGACCAGCAATCCTGATTTTCCTCAGCACTTTGTCTGTTATCAGAGTGCCAGAAACTCTAGTTCAAAGAATTCACCCAGTAATTGATATAGCTAGCTATTCTCAGTCATAGAATTTTTTTTGGAGGGTATATAATCTGAATTTGTATTAAGTGAACCAAGTTTTACAAAGTGGAAACTAGGTTAAGTTTCACATCCTTTTAAAGTACTCACTTACTGACCTAATATTCGATACTTCCATAAAGTTTTTATTAATACTTTCTTTACCGTATTATCGTTATATTAACACGCAAACCAAGCAGTGATCTCTCTCTCTAGAAAGTTTTTGTGTGAAGATCTAGAGCCTTCTAGATGGGATATATAACCAGAGTCGTCTGAATTTTGGGTACCAGAATTAAAATGAAGACAGTACCGAACTCGGTGGACCGTCTACGGAGGGCAGACAGACGAACAGGGCAAGGGTAACAAGACTGTTTATATGAAAGGCGTCTTTTTTGTCTTCCACAATTTATTACTCTACGATAATTCAGAAGGAAGATACCGTACAAGGAAGGCTGAATACTAAATCTCTGTAAATATGTTTACTGAGTAAATATATTCAACTACACTTGAAACACTAAACGAGTTAGCTCAGTGGTAAGAAGTCAGATGTCGAATTTGAAAAATTTCTGAATCGAGTCCTCAGTTCGGTTATCCTAATTGTCCGTGCATTTATTCAGTTCCTGCAGATTATCATTCGGGGACCACGGAATACGAGGAAGGTCTGAGATAAAGGTCGTTACGGAAGTCAATAATTTCGATCGTCCCATCATAAATAAACTCCGGATAAACAATTTTTATTCACCTTACCGAGCTTTATAGATTAATACCGAGCACTGCTCTCCAGTAACTCGTTGTTAAATGTGATCTCAACACCGCCATATGTCCATAAACATAATCAAAATTTGGAACGTTGAGTTATTGAGGAGAAACTTATGGTAGTTCTGAACTGTAGGTTGTAAAACGAATGTTTCTTTCGTTTTGTGAGGTTTGATTTAGACAGTCATTCTCAATAAGTGTTTATGTTAGTCGATTATCATCTGTAACTAGTTATACATAATTAATAGGGTGAACGCTGAATCAATCAATTATTAGGAGAATTAAATAACAATTTATATTAATGATAAACGTGTGTTTAAATTTGCTGCTATAAAACGTCTTCATTTACTGAATACAGAGGTCGCTTGGCTGAGGTTAATAATTCAGAATTGTAATAAATGTCAGTTCAAAGGAAAGTCCTGGGAGAGTCATTTGAACTGAAGAGAGATGAACTGACCGCAGAATGGAGACGATAGCAAAATGAACTAAGCGACGTTTATTCTTATCCTAATATTGTTTGGGTAATTAAATAAAAGTTGTTGCAAGGGGCTGGTATCGCAACTTGGAAAACGAAAAAGACGTATAGTTTTCTTATGAGGACAACACAAAAACTTTTTATGATATTGGAGAAGAAAGGTGATACTGGTGATCACGGATACAGTTCATCAAGCAGTCATCTCGGTTATTTTAATACTTCGAAGCACGAAGCTCGTGTAACTAGTATTTAAGAATTATTTTTCTGTATTTAATGCAACACAGATCGCAGAACATTTTTGTGAGATTGATGTTATCAGTGAATATTTCGAAGTTGATCTTCCGGATAGGAACTCCGTGTGAATTTGTAGGTAGATACCAGCGTTTCGGAGAAAATACTACGCCGATTCTGAAGTGTGTACCTCGAGAACGTTTCAAAGAACTAGTGGTCCTTGCTGTTCGGAGAATTGCATAAAACTCATAAATGGTTACATTTTACTGAACAAAATGCAGAATTTTTTAATGTTAAATGGCTCACGACGGGGAAGCTTTTATGCTAATCGTGTTATCTCGGCTAACATTTTGAAAATCTAAAATTAAAACGTCTTTTGTCTTATTTCGTGGATCAGCGGGACTCCGTACATTAGAACACATCTTCCTCATTACTCATCATCAGAAACACGGCAACGTCTTGTTGTAGAGTAAGTATTGGTCCAGCGTACCTGCACAGCATCCAGTTGAGTATCCCGCTATAATCTCGTTTCGGAAGACCTGCGGAAATAGCCGATCGCTGACGAAGGCATTAAAGAGGCGGGAAATAAGCATTCATTACTAGAGACGTAAGTTGGCGGAGCGCTCTGTCGTCACTCGACCGAACTAAACCATGCTGGTGCGGGACACGTATTTTTATTTTTTATTATTTTTATTTTTTAAATCGTCCGGCAGCATGTCTGAGCTTCAGTCGGTCTTCGCACATGGTCTGGTCTGGTTGGGAGGTTGCCGTGTCTGGCTGTGGTAGTGGGGGGGTGGTTTGGACGGGAACGGGCGAACGATCATCCATCTCTGGGCGTTATATCAGTGCTTTTTATACGGGAAAAACAAGCAATTGAACTCAACACTGCCTCGTGTCTATTCAGAACTGTAGTATTAAAATATTTAATATGCGCCTTACGTATTAATACGAACACTTCATCACAGAAATGTTCTTGAAATGTATATGTTCATCGTGTATTTGGATCCCAGTGCATTTATTTTCCTGTAGAATTAAACTTGAACACTGACTTATGTTTTTTTTCATTATTCATATGTGTTATAACGTTTTATAAAAAAATAACAAGTGATCTCAGTCAATTATGTCTTGAGCTTCTAGTAATTTTTCCCCCATTATATTGGGGAGTGGTGTGAAGAAAGAATCTTCATTTTTAAGTGGTATTTCCTCGTGGATATGTAAAGTGCACATAATGGAAATGCAATTTAGTTTTGAGCAAGGAAATGTTAAGTATTAGTTTTATTCAAGATGTTTATAGCACAATTGTATTTTGTCGAAATTACATCACTCCGAACATTGTTACAGCGTGGTATATCGTTAATGTATTTATGGAAGTGTTGTATATGAACAAATATATTTAGGTGAAAGATCAAAGGAATTGTTTGTTTTTCTTAGTTCAAAACTCGGAACGTACATAAAATGAGACAATTTTTGTTTACAGATTTATTAAATATCGCATTCAGACTTTCCGAAATAGTATTGTCTACGACTCGTTACGACTTGCTTGCATAATATGTCCGTAATTTGCATTTATGCGTGTATTTGTAAAAGTGTGCTTGTGACAACATTGTAGCGCTGCCTTTTTCATGCATTTTGTTCGAAAGTAGACTTTTTTTTATCGTGATTGAAATTGAAGAAAAAATTACACACTGCAACACCACGAGTTACCAAGATAATCTGCACAGAAACACGTTCTTAAATCTGCCATCTGTGTGATGATTACCAAATACTAAATAAACACTTTCGTACGATATTCTGGTGATTTAGATTGTAGTAACATGTCCATATAAGAATGAACAAAACGATTAAGGCTATTTTTATCTGATTGTTTAACAAGTCATTGTTGTAAGAAAAATATACGTTTCTGGATGTCTTCCATCGTGGCAGATAAAAATGTATCGTGGTTTATCCATGAAACAGTGGTGGAAGGAAGCCTAATGTTTGGAACTCTATTAATTTAAGAATATACAACCAGGAAAGACATGAAAGTTGAATTACTGAATTGTGTGTTTTTAATATATTGTAAATATACAGTGTAGTGAATGCAAAGCACAATGACGTCAAGATTGGGACAGAAAGCCCTTGGGGTAGCTGCTATTGTTGCGATAATACTGTTGATTGTTCTCATAGTACTATTGTGGACAGGCGTTGGTGCGGGGGTGTTTAATTCAAGAAATTCTGTCGCATATCAGCCTCATAGGGGACACGAAGTAAGGACACACGACTCGGAATCATATAAAACTCGAAATGATGATGTAACAATGAATTTCAGCGGATTCAGCGCTTCTGGAGAGGGACTGGACGTAGTGACTCCAGCGGCGACATTGTTGAGCGAGGTGGACGGCTTCGCAGAGAAGGTTACGGGTGAGTTTCGCACTTTCCATGTTTTTTTATAAGATGATTTGCATATGTAGACTTAGTAAGCGAGTCTTATATACAATATTTGAACTCCTTGAAGAACATTGTTATCTGTACGTATCACCTGCTTTAATACTCAGTAATGTAATTACGACCGCCACGGTGGTCTAGCGGTTAGAACGCTGGCCTTGTAATCCTGGGGTCTCGGGTTCGATTCCCGGCAGTGCCCGAATTTATAACTTGTGTTGGGCAAGGCCGTGGTCTAGGCAACACGGAGTTTTCCTCCGGGGCATCCCAATAATTACTCCATTCACACACAGAAGAAGGGAATGGCAAACCACTTCTGGATCATCTGCCAAGAACGTATATGAACAGGTCCCAGTCCGAGAAAAGGATGGAAGGATCCTGTTCATATGGACCTGTCGTCAGGCAGAACACTAAATAATAATAATAATGCAATTACGTGTTTCGTATGATTTTCGCAGAAAACAGGGATTGGTTTCTAAAAGAGGATTTATTCGCCAGCATGGCTTGAAAGTGAGACCCGTTGTGTTTCTTTGCCCGTGAATACACCGTGTTTACACTTGCACACTTTTTACGCTGGCCTGAGCAGCGGCCTATCAACAAAAGTGACCTTGACTCGAGAGTCGCTGGTGAGGCTGGGAGAGAGAGTTGCACAGGGGTCAACTGCTTCTGATAAAATGTTTGCACCGTATTGCGTTACTGTTGTTTCAATGTGTTTTAAATCGCACACGTTGTATTTTATAAGTAACTATAGCGTATGTTACATTTACAAAGAAAACGCATTCATGGCGGCTCGTAGCTGATGTCGATCCTGTTCGGAGGGTACGGTACCTTGTAGATTCTGGCTGTGTTACCGCTGTTTCGGTGATCCTTACGTCTTACATCTTCAAGGCAAGAACTTGATTTTGTTGTGTTTCAGGAACTTTCAGCTTGTTAAATTTTGAATGCTAGATTTACTAAACATGAATGTTTGCGTAGATGTACGAGGGTCACTCCAAAAGTAATGTGCTACATTTTTTAAAAAAAACTTTTTATTCTATAGCTTTTTTTTTACAAAGTTAGTATGTACGCTTCCCGCTTCTATTCGTGATTAGTTAATTTACTTTCCGCTAGTGGCGTTGTTATACCATACGTTTCAAAATGGCGACTGCACTTGACATCCGTCAGAAGCAACTTGCTGTAATTGAATTCTTGGTGTGTGAGAACGAGACAGTGGGAAACAATCACAAGCGATTGTAGAAGGTGTGTGTGGGGATGATGCTTTCGATCGCAGAAAAGTTAGTCGTTGGGCTAAGCGATTATCTGGGAAAAGTGGTCATACCGATATCCACAGTGGCAGACCTCAAGTCAGCACACACGGACACCATTGTTGAGAAAGCTAACAACATTATTGTGGCAGACATGTGTAACAGTGAAACGCTTGTCACTTCAACTGGGCATTGGGAAAGCAAATGTATGTAGAATTTTGGAGACGTGTTGTGTGCAAGGTGGGTCCCATGACAACCGCCAGATACACACAAGGAACAACGGAAGATGATTTGTTATGAACTTCTGGAACGGTTTGAGAATGGAGGTGACAACTTCCTCGCTCGTATCGTGACTGGAGATGATACATGGCTGCACCACTACGAACTCGTAAGGTTAAATCATTTTAAGAATCCACGGCTCAACATATCATTGTGGTCACAATAGTGGTAAAATGGCAGCATGGAATTGTTTTTCAGAGTACAAGATTTTATTAAAACGTGTTATGTGGTTATTAATTATTTTGGTTGTTCGGAATTGAAAATGAAATAGTCTGAGTGTTAGTAGGCCTGACATGCAGACAGTTCCTTCGTGTATTCAGATTTGATGTTTTGGATTTTATAAGCATCAGCTTAGTACGTAATTAGTTTACTAGTTTATTGTAATATTAGAAAATTTTAACAGCCAAAATTTTCATGTATGCATTTAATTTTAGGTTCAGATAATATGAATTTAAATATAAGTCCATGAACGTAACGTTGCCTGAATGATCTAACGAACAAAATTGAATACGCCTTCAGGCCTATTAGGTTAGATTTTAGGCCTTCCCCTCGCCCCTGCTTGTGCGAGGTACGCCTCTAGGGTCTGTCGCGTTTTTCAGTGCATTAAGCAACCCGTATGACAAGCGGAAACATTTTGAACAGATCCCATTGTTGAGACATGTTGCAAAACAGTGGGAAACGTTGCTATTGTTGATTAGCGTAGTTCTTGGAACAAGCGGTTGCGTAAAAGTTGTGGAACCGAAGTCATTGTTGAAACATTGTTGCTGTACGATATCGGATCTCGTTAGTTTAGCAATGAACTAAGATAATAATAAATTAGGATAATTGGTAACTGAGATAGTAAGACATTGATTGTGATAACGCATCGTAACAGTTATTGTTGCAAATCATTGTTGCGCAACAACGAGCTATCACTGACGTAAAAATAACCCCTGGAATTCCAGTGCACTGCAACCTTATGTTGGTATGCACGGTTTATACAAAGCCAGAGAGTGAAAATACTCTTCTATATACGTAGGTATGTTTTGGAGGGCATCTCGTCCTTCATCGTCGTCGTGTTAGGCACACTTTCGTCAACGACGTCTTCCAGGTAGAGAATTCTACCATGGCCGGTCTAGCATAATGACTACATTTCAAGGCCTCACTACCTGTACTCTGAAATTAGACGTTTCTTATGTGCTCAAAGTCCAGCCGTTTTACGTCTCGATCGAGAAATCGAATTAACAACATTCAATATTGTATGCGCCGTTTCTGTACGTTACCTGGCTCGATTATTTCTTCGGTATTTTAAAATTGTGAACAATTTAAACAACGTTACATTTATTTGTATTTAAGATTTACATTACCGCTGTGAGTCATATTTGAATCAGTTTAAATGTCAGTAGCGTTGTGCACTTGATTCGGTTTCACACTCCCGCTTCGTATTTGTTGTGTCCAGGGTTCAAATTTGGGTTCGAATACCAGGTATCCTGACAGGTATTTTGTACTCCCTTCAAGCAAATTCCTGTATAATATCTTAAATTAGGTCACGCTTTTTCCCAGTTTTCTGAGCTACCTGCAACATTCTTAAACAACAAATAATTAGCAAGAAAAGAGAAACACCTAAATAAATATATTTGAAATAGTGGGGACACTGTTTATTTCTGTTTGTGTCATTGACTACATTTTTCGAAATAGGCGAATATTTAACATTTTTCAAATCACTGTTAACCAAATATTCTTCAGTTGCAGTCCTACTTCGATTTCCCTCGCTCTGATTGTGTTTAAACTTTCAATGTTACTACCCAGACATTGTAGGTGATAATTTTTGAACAACTAACCATTTTGTTAAAAATCACAAAGTCCAATGTTACTACCCAGACACTGTAGGTGATAATTTTTGAACAGCTAACCATTTTGTTAAAAATCACAAAGTAAAACACGTAAAGTTACTCACGTGTTTAATTAAGGACACGCCATGTTGAAGCATGAACGAGTGAATGCGATTTACATACAAAGTACTTAATTAATTGGGATTCTTATCAGTAAAAGCGAACAATCTGCCGATTATTTTTAATGACATGTCGGCAGTGTATTGAAAAAGATGAAACCGACAATTTGGTTCAATCGACGTTTCATCTAGTTAAAAAAGTGGAGTAAGAACTGGGGTTCCAGATGTTTTTTGTTGCCTGTGGAACTGTGTTAACCCAACGAAAACCCTGTCAGGGTAGTCGGTTCTCAGCCGGGATACCAACCGCGTACCTTTCGCTTACATCACATCGTAGCTTCATTGTCAGTGATAGTGGACTACATATTAACGTCGAAGCCAACAGCGCGACGTGTCGTTGAGGGAGCACAAGACCATCATAGCAAAAGGCAATGTCCCACTACACTTAGTCATTATTTTCTGTCTCTCAACAGTTCACATCTGAAGTTCAAGGCCGTGTGGATGTGCTGACTTCATTGGTCTCTCTAAAGCTGGCATGTAGAAACCCCGCCTCGCGGTCTTTCTTTATCCGGCCCGCGTAAAGTTGTACAGTTTTTAATCCATTTTAATTAATGCAGTCTATCTGATGTGTAAAATATTAACGTGTTTTATGTTCCTTACATACATAAATCAATACTTTATTATCATTGCACTTATATTTCGGACTGAGCTTTTCTGATCTACTTGATACTTCCGAAACGTCGTGTGTATCAAGTATACTTCAGGCAACAGGCACTGTCAAACTTAGTATTCGTATAATATGTTTATGTAAAACATTCTTCTGTAGTCATTAAATTAATGGATATTTCACACATAGAATACGTTTTATCTTAGTATGATTCAATTTTTTATGGCGTTGAGTATGAAGATGGCTGTTTTTTTGGGATGTTTCGCCGTGTTTGGTAGATTGATGGAACAGACAGCAGCTCTTAAGCGTGTAAACGTCTGCAGGACCCAGAAGGTAGGCGCTTACGCGTATTAACCAACTAACTAACTAACTAGATGGCTTACCGAACCCGAAGGTTCATCACCGAATTAACCAAAGCCCTCCACCGGACCCTGTCCTGGGCCAACAAAATCCAGTCTCCTTCGACTCCTTGTCTCCCATAGATCCCGCCTGAGATTATCCTCCCATCTACGTCTAGGTCTTCCCAGCGGTCTCTTCCCCTCAGGTCTTACGCGTATTACCATACGTAATTTGTGCACTGGGGCTCGAATTTCCATCCCTTTGAAACCCTGGTTGTTGTTGTTGGTTGATTATTTTGATAACTGTTTTTGATTGCTGGTCTACTCAACACTCCGTTTTAAGACCGCCATGGCGAGTCGAAACTAATACGTTTTATGTTAAATCTAAAGGTCTATAGATCATGTCTTATTTGCCATACGCATGTCATGTCGAATGTTATATCTCCTTTATTTTGGGATAATTCCAAGTTTCACAGAGCATGAAGATTTCTGTCTTCTGCTTTGTTGCGCTGTGTAGTCTGGTA